TCTTATATTTGACCTTTACATTGAGGTTTATGATCAATCTGGGATTAATTTCAGTGTATGGTGTGAGATAGGAGGCAAAGTTCATGATTTTTCCATGTGGATATCTGATTGACTAGCACCATTTATTGAATATGACTATGTAAATCATGTAACTGTGTAAATGAAGGTCAGACTCCATTTTTACTACCCTGAAGCTTGCTTCAGGGCCCAGAATGTCATGGGATCCTGAAGGTTGGGACTAAGAAACTGCCAACACACGCTGAAGATTGAAGAAAGGCTCTACAGCCCCTGGCTTGAGCAGGAGACAGAGGGATATACTCTAGGGACAGTGGCTGTGTGCTGCGGCAGGGCTCCACAGAGCGCCACTGACCATGTTGAGTTCACTCCTGTCCAGGGCCTGGCTTCTGCTTTGCTGGCTCAGACATCCTGTCTTGCCAGGTTCCCAGAGCTGATGGGACAGGGCAGCTCAACTCGTTGACAAAGGTCCTCGACCCACTGGCTTCCTTGCAGCTCCTGACCAAGCAAGCCCCTTTCAGCCCTGGGTGTTTTCACTTTCTGTTCCCTCTGCCTGGACCCTTTCCCAACTCCCCCTTCTCCTTACTGTTGCCTCAGCCATCTCTGACCACCCTGCCTCCAACGCACCATCCCCAGTGACTCTCCTTCCCGTTTACCTGCTTCCCTTTGTAACACTCGTCACTATGTGAAACTGTATTATCTCTTTATTTGTCTACTTGTTTATTTTCTATCTTCCCAGCTAGAACATTAGCTCCATGATATAAAAGACCATGTCTGTTTACTTCTATATTGTCAGCTTCGAGCACTGGACCTGGGAGAGAGTAGGTATCAATGAATAGTTCCTGAACTCCCCCGAGACTCTCAAAATGCCAGCTTGTATGTTTACACTGAGAAGGGCACCATCAAGTGCAGGGGTGGGCAGGTTGGTTGGACCAGGGCAAGCCCCATGCGGACCCCAGAGGGGTCTGGTTGCTGGAGCGTTGCTTGGGTAACGTGGAACCAAACCAGCTGCTGCCGAGTCCAGCTTGAGCACCTCGGATGCTCACCCTTCCTGGGTCTGTCTCCACGGGGAGTTGTGGGTCCATTCGTTCCTCCACTCAGCAGGTAGTTGCCCATACCACGTGCGGCCTGTCTGCTCACACTGGCCTGGTGGCCTCCCTGCCTTTGGACAGGGTGGGGCTCTGTGGTTCTCATCTCTCTATACTTCCATCACTAAGTCACTGCTATTTATTTGACACTTGTGAGAGGGGAGTTCACTGTCAACTTTTATAACCCCAAGAGCCATTCAGTCTTTCTTTAAAATTTTAAAAAATTCATTCAATGCAAAGCCCTTGTATGGGCCAAACACCATGCTTGGTGCAGTGATGGAACAGGACAGACAAGGGCGCTGCTCTTTGGGGACCCACACTACATTAGACATTATAATGACGCTGTGATAAGTGCTGGGAGGAAGGGTGCAAGGAGTGGGGAGCTCACTAGGGTGACTGTATTTGTGGGACCTGGAGGGGTGTGACTTGGTTTCTCAGCTTAACTTGGAGAGGAAGTCTGAGTTCTAAAGCATGGCCCTAATCACTGCCCTCATGGACCACGCTCCTTTGGCACATGGTCCCCTCCTTCAGCTACGGGTACAGGCAGTCCCTTTGCCTGACATAATAAGGACACACTGGACAAAAAGTGCTCTTTGAGAGCGGTCCAGAGACCTGGTATCTCTCTCCTCAGCCAGACTCCTGTCTGGGTTTAGCGGTTGTAGAAAGCATCCTGATGTCTTAGTAACTCCAGGTGACATTCCTCTGGTGGCAGGTGGTGCTCTGACTGAGATTCTTCATCAATGGTGAGTTTTCCCCCACTGTTAAAGGGGCAGGGAACTGGCCAGATGTGGGCCCCTGTGTGAGCAGGAGGTAGGAAGGTGGTATGAGAGGGGAGGGGGAAGGGAGCAAACCACTGGCTCCCTTCCCCCCCACCTCCTTCTCCGCCTTATCACTGGGGGCCCTAGTGTGGGGCACAGCCCCAGAGCTCAGTCCAGGCTTCTGTACAGAAGCCCCAAGGACCCAGTGTCCCCACTGTTTTTCTCCATTGCTTAAGAGAACAAAAGGTTTTCCCTAGAGTGTGATTTCCCGGCAGCTGACCTGTGTCACTGATGTGTGTCTGACCATTTCCTTGTAGCCTCCCTCTCCTCCACGGACAGAGGAGCCCTCACCAGTGACCATACCTCATCTTAGAATTCACATGTTCCTTTCTTCCAGTTCCCTTGAGCCACTCTTGTTATTTTACATTAAAGATGTTTGGAAAGTCAAGGTTTATTCCCTCATTTTTTATAACTCTGTGCAAGGCACATAGAATAAGGACTGTTCCGAACAGCTTTGTAGGTGCTAGGATGGCAGTAAGCACAGAGCGCCATGGGAGCCCAGGAGTGAGGGGTCCCTAACCCAGCTGGGAGGTGGGAGGGGGTAGGCTGGGAATCAGTAAGGAAAGCTTCCAGGAGGAGGTGGTGGAGATGAGTCTTAAGGGATAGTGGTCTCTCCCATTAGGGCCATTAGCAGGCGCTGACAGGTCACAGGATTTCCCAGGTGTGTGTGCCAGCCTCCATGGGGCTGCCTAGACAGCCATGCCCATTTGCCTCGGGGAGTTCCCCTGGGTCTCAGTGACCTAGGCAGGCTTTATTCAGAATCCTGTGTTGCACATGGTCCCCAGTAGCCACCCTGACTGACACATTGTCCTGTCACTGGCAGAAGGGAAGCACCTGCCAAGTCTGAGGGTTTTTGGAGGAAGCCCTAGAGGCCCAGCTCTGTGAGGCTCCCCCAAGCTCCTGACTCAGAATTCCCACTCTGGGCTTAGGGAGTCTTACAACATCTGAATTGGTTAAACTGTCTAAACCAACCCTTCCGGTGCAGCCCCAGCCCTGCTCCCCTTCCCTGTCTAGGTGAGCAGGGAGGGCAGTCTTGATTTAGGGGTTGGAAATAGCAACATCAGGGTGAGGTTGGTGGCACTTA